TAGTTTGGAGAATAAGACAATACCTTTGTTGAGGAGGACTGAGGACTGGAGTCTCAGACATGTCTGTGGTTGGGCTTACATTGACACTCAAGAGCTAAAAGTCCCCCAAGTAACTTCACTTAGGTGTTACTGTTTACTGCCACTTACTTATTCACCACCAAGGTCTGATCTAAATGTACATACATAGCCTCATCTACTGCTTTCAATAAAGAGCTTTTATTGTACTTGATTATGGATTGGATTGCTGAGAGATGACCCACCAGTCCCCACATTTGAGAATTATATTTATAGCCTTGGAAGCCTAAAGGAGGGCCTCTGATGAGAAATTGACTCAGTTGCTGTGGATTTGGGTTTAATTGATTTCAATTTGGAAAGTGTTACTGGCACTTGGGTCAGAATATTTAGATAGTGTGGCTCAACGTGTTCTAGATCCTTTGGTTAATTATTTATTTTCTAATTGTTTCTTCATTTTCTATTTCTGTGTTCATTTTTGTGAGATCTGTACAAAAAATCTCAAAGGCTGGTATAAAGTTTTGAACAGACACATCAAAACCGTGATTAAAGGGTGTTTTTTTGGATTGGTTTCTTTTTTTTTTTTTTTTTTTTTTTTATTAACTCAAGTTGATCAAGTTGTCAAGTTGGTCCTTAGCTTAGGATAACCTGATGTACAATAGAGCAAAATGCTACGCAGTCTGGCACTGTCCATGGTCTTTTCCAGTTGAATCTTTTTTACCTACAGGGTTTATATTGGCTCATTTTTGGAGGTAGATCGCCAGGCTTTCTTCCATCCTGTCTTTGCTTGTAGTTCCACTGAGACTGTTCCTCATCATAACTTCGTTGCTATCAAGTTGGAATCAATTCATAACTAACACTCCAGCAGGTTTGCTGAGGCTGTAAGTTGCATGGGAGGAGATTGGCTTTTTTCTCAGAAGCAGTTGTTGGATTTGAAACATCTGTCTTTGAGTTGGCAGCACAACTCTTTATGCACTATGCCACCAAAGCTTGAGCCACATGAAAATTTCTTTTAAAAGTGTTAATTCAAATGTTTGCTAACTTATGTCATCAAATAAAGCAAATAGTTTTCTTTCCTATTTTAATTTTAAATGCATTTTAAATTGGTTCATGGCATCACTTTATTCAAACAATAGTTAAAATATTATTGAGCTGAAAGAATTATTTCATCATTGAGGATCTTGCTGCTCTGAAAATGGCCACAGAACTGTTACCTTGGCTGGTAGTTTGCTGGAAAGGGTGAGTGTGTCTCATCCCAGACACACTGAGTTAGAATCTGAATCGGTCACAAGGTCCAGGTGCTCTGTATTCAATTAGGGATGGAGAATCCCATCCTTTTGGCCTCATTTGGGTTCTACAAGTTGCTGTTGTGAACATAAAATACAGGAACTGAGTTTTGTAATGTTGTTGATTGCTGTTGAGTCAAGCACGAATCATAGAGACCCTGTGAATAAAAGGCCTGAATCCTTTCTGTCTATCATCATTTATCAAAGTTCATAGAGTTTCCAGAGGCGTATTGTTTAGGGAGTGGATGCCACTTCTACTTCCAGACCTGTCTTAAACTGGAAGATCCACCACTGTCCACTATGGTTAAGCACTATGGCATTTGACACCCAAATATTATTATTACTATTACTGCCCATATAATTGTTGTTGTTGTTATGTGCCGTCGAGTCGCTTGCAACTCATAGCGACCCTATGTACAACAGCCCTAAACTCTGCTCTGTTCTGTGCCAATCGCACTGTCTCTGACACTCCCATCCCGATTATCCCAGTCACTGAATCAGTCCACCTCATAGAGGGCCTTCCCCTCCTGTGCTGTCCCTCCACCCTCCCAAGCATGATGTCCTTCTCCAAGGACCGGTCTCTCCTCACAACTTGTCCAAAGTATGTTAGACGGAGCCTCAGAATCCTTGCCTCCAAGGAGCCACCTGGTTTAACCCTTTCCAGGATGAATCTGTTTTCCTAGCAGTCCATGGTACTCTCAGCACTCTTCCCCAGCACCACAGCTCAAAGGCATCAGTTCTCCTTCTTTTCTCCTTGGTCATTGTCCAACTCTCTGATGCATAACAAGTGATTGCGAAGACCATGGCCTGTATCAGACGCACCTTAGTCTCCAGAGAGACACCATTGCTCTTCAGTACTTTGGAGAGGTCCCTAACAGCAGACTTTCCCATGGCAGTGCGCCTTTTAATTTCCTGGCTACTGGTGCCAAGAGTGTTGACTGTGGAGCCAAGCAAACTAAAGCTTTGAACAATCTCAATCTCTTCACAATCCATCCTGATGCTGCCAATTGGTCCAGTGGTGAGAATCTTTGTCTTCTTGACATTGAGCCTCAATCCATATTGTAGGCTGCAGTCCTTGACCCTCTGCAGCAGGTGCTTCAGGTCCTCTTCATTTTCAGCAAGCAGGGTTGTGTCATCTGCATAACATAGATTGTTGATAAATCGTCCACCAATCTTGACCCCACATTTCTCCTCATAGATCCCAGCCTCCCGGATAATCTGTACTACATAAAGGTTGAAAAGGTATGGAGATAGGATGCATCCCTGGCATATGCCGTTCCCAATTTTGAACCATGCAGTGTTCCCTTGCTCTGTTCTGACGACTGCCTCGTGGTCCTAGTATAGGTTTTGCATTAGAACGATCAAGTGTTCTGGGATTCCCATTCTTCTCAGAGTCAGCCACAGTTTGTTATGATCCACACAGTCAAACACCTTTGCGTAGTCAATGAAACACAGATAAGACATTCGTCTGGTATCCTCTGCTTTCAGCTAAGATCCATCTAACATCAGCTACAATATCCCTAGTACCACGATCTCTTCTAAACCCAGCCTGGACTTACCCTTATGCTATTACTTTGGAAGACTTGTTTGTAACAGGGTGGAAAAATGGCTCTCTTACTTTAGACAGAAATTACCTAAAGATTTTTAGAGACTGAAGCACTTATGCAAAGAAAATCTAAACTTGGTGTTTTATGTTTAATCTTCTTCACATGTAACTGTGGCTTAAGTAACCTGTGAAGATTCCAACCATTAAGTGCTAATGCCATGATGTGAATGTAAAGCCCTGATATGATTAAAAGGATACTTTACCTTTACATCCAAACATCAACAAAATATTATTAAATGTTGTCCAGCTTTTTAACTCAAGTAGTTAATGACACATGATTTTAAATGTCTCATTTTTTAAAAATACTTGAAAAATTCACCTATTTTGAAAATTTTGTATTTCAAATATTTGCTAATTTATATCATCAATTAAAGCAAATAGTTTTTTCCTATTTTAATTTTAAATACATTTTAAATTGGCTCATGACATCACTTCATTCCAGTAATTGTTAAAATATTGGTGAATTGATTTAGAATTGCGAGACATATTAATAGATTATGTTTTTACTTTTGTAAAAACATGAATTTTTAAAAACATTATTAACTTTAAAAAGTTTTCTTTTAGATACAGACTGTATATTGCTAAATATGTAACATTCTTTGATATTTTATGTATTATTATTTGAGTGAAGTCTTAATTGATGCAAGTATTGTTTTATAACATTACATTATCAACAGTGTCTGATCTTCCACTTCATATTGCTTTTCCTTTGAGCCATCTTAGTGTTTATTATCTTTTTATTAACTTTTACTTCCTTCTCTGTTGCTTTCCTTCCCTGATAATTATAATAGAATAATTTTATGTATAAACTTTTCTACTATTGTGATTTTACAGTGTTTGTCCTTTGATGACTGACTTATTTCACTCTGTATAATATCCTGTAGAGTCATCCATATTACATGCGGTGTTTAATACTTCTGTTGCTATAAATATGCAATACTCTTATTCTTAGCTCTCATTATGTTAAGTGTAAACATAAATGAGAATTATGTTGCTCCTTTAATTTTAATTGTATTTGCAAGGATTACGTATCACTTAAATTTTTAATGCTTTGCTTATAAATCAAATTTATAAAAATTATTTTTCTCCAGATTCCTGATAGCATAATGGCTACCAATAGAAACTTTGGTGATTTGAACCCACCAGCTGTTTTATTGGAGTGATACAACAGCCTATTTTTGAAAAGATTCATAGCTTTGTAAATCTGGTGAGGCTGTACACTGTCCTTATAGGATTAGAGATAACTGGATGGCCTAGGGTTTTTAGTAAATTTTAAATCACTCTAGTATGAGTTAAGATAGCTACATTTTCTTTAAGAAATCCATAGGGATTTGGTAAGTGAAAGGAAGTTACTCAGGTAAATACCATACCTTTTACAATAAAAGAGGCAATAAGTCTGCTTCATTAAAGAGTTTACACCCTTCATCTGCAGTACCTTGAAAATTTCTAAAAGTCAAAAGCATGGCACATACACGTTGTTGTTATGTGCCATCGAGTCATTTGCGACTCATAACGACCCCATGTGCAACAGCCCTGAACCCTGCTCTATTCTGTACCAATCACATTGCCTCTGACACACCCATCCCGATTACCCCAGTGACTGAATCAATCCACCTCATAGATGGTCTTCCCCTCCTGCGCTGTCCCTCTATCCTACCAAGCATGATGTCCCTCTCCAAGTACCTGTCTCTCCTTACAACATGTCCAGAGTATGTCAGACGAAGCCCCAGAATCCTTGCCTCCAAGGAGTAGCCTGGTTTAACCCTCTCTAGGATGAATCTGTTTGTTTTCTTGGCAGT